GGCAGCCATAGTGCGCCAGAACGCTCACCCCACATCAGCTATCAGTAGGGAGGAGAGCAGAGTAATGTAGCCAATTCATAGAGGGGGATTATTAGGAGGCCAATTATTAGTAAGGGCCAATTGGAAATTTGGCCAGGACACCAGGGTTACACCCCTACTCTTTTCGAGAAGCACCCTGGGATTATTTTAGAAAATTTCTGACTGTTCAATTACATTGTTGTGAATACATTTTTATGATTAGGGATTGTCTTGACATGTTTAGAAACAGCTTAAAAACATATCTACTGTTATTTTTTCTTTTCTTTCAGGAACTAGAATTTTCAGACCTAACAGCTGTACTTCACTGCATACATTCTTTCATCGCCGCAAAAGTGGCAGCAGTGGATCCTGTATTTATTAATAGTCAAAGCATCGCAAGGAAGTATATGTACAACAGCTAAAATTTCTACTTTCTTTTATTCTTTGGATGACCTCTATTTAATCAGTATTTTTTCTACAAACTCCTGTAAGATAATCAACAGAATAACAAAGTAATATCTCTACAATTTCAAAACCAGAGTACATTTTTTCACTTTCATCTTACATAATCTACTGCTAAGTAATTTCAAGGTTTGCTGTGATCACTAATTCATTTGCACCTAATTGATATTAGTATTGTATAACACCACTTTGAAGAACTGTGTGTGTATGTGTCAATGCAACTCTTAAAAATAAGCTAAGTAAAAAAATATTTACTAAAGTATTTTTCTTGAGGTCCTAAATGTGATTGCATTATGATTTAAGACAATTGCTCTATGAACAAGAAAGGAGAATTTTTCATTGCTGAGTTTTGACATTTACTGGAGTATGCATTTATTCAAAGGTGACATGTGTTCTGCTAGATTTAGCAGGAGATAAAGTGTATTTGTGTTCCAGTTAAATTAATCAAATGCATAAGCTCTTCAGTACTTCGTAAAAGACCAGCATTTTCACTGGAGATTTTTAGTGATTGTTTTTTTTAATTGGAATCCCCAGTTATTTTATTCATAGATTTTCCTAATTTCAATTCAGATTTTTTTCTTGGCTTGGCTTACAGCTATGACCCAGAGATCTGCATTGGAGGACTGAGGGAAGAGTATGTCTTCCTCTGAAATATGCACTTCATATCCATCTGCCATCACTCTGTAAGCCCCATAGGGTCTCAAATAGGTTTTGTTTGGAGGAATGCTACAGCTTGCTCCAATAAAAAACATCCCATAGCTAAGCTCACTTGTTCTCAGTACATGGTAATGGTACATGGTAATTACTGTTGTATAGCTAGCTCTGTGTAATAAGACAATTTTCTTTTGTCACTCACAGACAGCTAAAGATATGGATCATGATTAAAATTGCTAAAGTACAGCAATGCTGGAGCACTGCTAAAGTGGTATAGAAGTGCAACCAATGTTTTGTGTGAATGTGTTCTTGAGTCAATACAACATTTGATAGAAAAGCTCAAAAGTGGAGTGACTATTTTTAGATGACCATTGTTGGGGGGAAAAAAACCTAGATTTATTTTTTGTCAGATGCTTATTTTGTCCATATCCTCATCATCATGTGGTGAAATTCAATTAAATTTCAATGCCCTTTTAATAAAATATACAGCATATAGATTCAATTCACTACAATAAATCAACAAGTAAAATTATGTTACAGTACATGTCCAGGTCAAACTATTTTCTTCTGTGACAACACTGATCACCAGTGTATACAATAGAACACTATATTGCAATGTTTTAACACTAAAGAAACTTTTCAATTCTGTATGGAAGTTCTCTAACAGTGGCCTAATTTATGTCTGACAAAAAAAAACAACTAAGTCATTTTTTAGCTACTGAGTTTTGCCAAATTCAGGCTTAGAGTTACAGGAAGGGAGAATTTTTGCAAGTTGTCTTGCACTCTACACAAAAACCATTATATTTTTGTATGTTTTGTTTAATAAGAAGTTAGAATAGATGAGATTTCAGCTACTTCCATCCTCAAGAAATATGATACATCACACAAGACACTTCAAAACTGGCTTTACCGATGTGGCCACATTATTTAAGATTTAAGAAGAAGACATTAAGATACTACACTTTAAGAGAAGTGAAGGTTATTGAATGGTTTGTGTGGAATCTTATGAGGATGCAGCCTTTAAATAGAAATAATACTGGTTTATTCCAGATCCAGTATGATATACAGTACAATAAATGTTTTGAGAGAGTACAATTTGTTTTCTAATGTAATAAGCAATTCAATGCAGCAGTTGGCAAGCATGTTTTTTGCTAAATGTACCAAATTATTTACAAACATATTTACAAACCCCATGGACATTCACATTCTTTTAGGTTTTAAGGCTTCCATTAAGGCAAGTAGTCTTTTGGTTGCTTCCACACTTTTCACACTTGCTTCTCCTGATACACAGCAACCATTGGGTATTGCGTGCAGAAAGGGTATTTCAAGTAAGCAGAAAAAACATAAATTATAAATACAAAATGGGAAATGGTAATCTAGAAAGAGCCTTACAGTAGATGTTTATGTTGATGTGCCATTTTCTAAACAACGTGGGGAGGCAAGTAAAAAGGAAAACATGCTATTACAGTATATATTAGATAAAAGCTTAAAGTTTTAATAAAGGGATATTATTTTAAAAAAGTAAAAATTACTGTACTGTATATAATGCACACGTAAGACCTCTTTCAGAATATTGTATACAATTTTTGTACAAACGTATTACAGAAAAGATATTGGAACCCATCCAGAGAATGGCAAACAGATGCAATATCCCGGGAATTCAGGGAATGTCCTTCACTAAGAGAAGGGACTGAATCTTTTTAGTGATGAACAGAGAGGACTACAAGGGGACCAGAGACAAGTATTAAAAAAGTTGAAAGTCAATGACAAAGTCAACCCTATTGGATTTCTTCAGAATGAACAGTGAAACACAAACAAGAGGACACAAGTAGAAACTACATGGAAGTGCATTTAAAACCCAGAACAGGAGGCACCTCTTTACCCAAAGGGTGGTGGGAGTACTGAACAAGCTACTGTGTGACATCTTTGTATCAATTTACTACTGGCTACCAAATGGGCTAGAATGGCTTCTTCTCATTTGTAACCTTTCTTATGTTCTTATGAAATAAAAAAAAACATTTTTTTTGTTTTATCATACACTGTCATAATATGATTATGTGTAATACTAATGTTTCGCCTTAGACTGACTTATTGAAAACAAAATTACTAAAATGGACAAGGTTCAAAGTTTAAAACTGACATATATTCCACTTATATTTAAAGCTTTAATATTTATATAATTTAGAATCCGTTTTCTAAAATTATATTATATATATATAATTTCTCTCCAGGACTTGGGATTAAAAAAAAAGAAAAAAAATCTAAATTGAAATATAAAATGTACATTATACAAGAACTCTCCATGTGTTTTATATTTATATGATTCTTCCAAAAGGGGAAAACAACAATGTGGCCTCCACTTCCTAAAGAGGCTGTGACATACAGCAGCTACTGTTTATTAATAGTGACCATGTTTCCTCTATAATGAAAAATTTGTTGCTAAGTCTACTTGAGAAATGTCACTAATGTAAAGCAGGACCAAGTAAAACTAACTATTTGAAATAGCTGAGAGATATTTCTCTTCATTTGAATCAGCACAAAAGCAAACACCCACGTTTGAAAATAAAACTGGTTGTTTTACAAATATCTTAAGTAATTACTGTCATATCAATAGACCATAATGTATGAAATAAATAGAAATAAATGGGGTAAATAGTAAACAAAGCTTATTAACTAAGTTTATATTTTTAAAATGCAAAAGGTGATTGCTATTATTTCTTGTACTGTTATTTTAGAAGCTCAAAAATGCTTTCTTTCCTGTTTCTTAACTGTGTTCAGTTCAGACCAGTAAATTAAACATGCATTATTTTTTTACTTTCTGATGTAAATAAATAATTGGTTTGATACAACATGCCATATTTCCCGTCTACCTCCATGGCAAAAGATCCCTTAAGTCTTAACAGTGTATGAATAAATCCATAAACCCAGCATAGAATCACCTTGAAAGACCTCATTACATTTAAAAATGTAGGTCAAACAGTGAATGTTGTATTACATATAATTTGCATATGTACATGTAATCAGTCTCTGGATAGATTGTTTCACGACTGTTGCTATGAAGCTGCAGCCAGCTGGCAAAGATTTGCCATTTGCAATTGTTTCCTGTTCAAAGAGCGGGGACCTGGTCTCACAGGATGCTCTCCTGTACTCATGGCCACTGCAAGACCTTCGCACTGTTTTCTAGAAGGTGTCATTGTGTGATCCTAGCACTTCAGTTCATTGTCTTGCTAGAAAACATTAATTTGGCAGAGAATCTGTTGACTAAAGGACTATAGTATGTATCACTGTGCAGTAAGCTTTTCTTCAATTTGCATTTATGTATCACACTCCCATTGCGCCACCTATTGGCTTTAACAATGCACCAGTCAGTATAGTGCTCACCATGACATTTCCACCTGTTGCCCCCACACATCAGGCCTGGCGAGCACAAAACTACATTCATTGATGAATAAAACTCCACTACACTCTCTTCTTGCTTTGGGGGTTTTCCCTCTCGCGGAAGATGAGTATACCATCTCTCAGCCTTCTATATTACACCTGAAAAGTCTCTGAGCATAGAGATTATTTTCATGCAGCTGGGGCACTAAATTCATTCTGCAGAGCCAAAGATTGTTGCTTCCTGGAACATCTTGTGCTATGCACTGTGATGTCTGAAAACAATTGCACACATGAAGAAAATTAAAATGATGGTCCTTAGCCAGCGAACTGTCCATCTGCCTTTCGGGACATGATCTGATCCTCACAGAGTCATCCAGACTGCTGAGTTCTGATGCAAACTATCTTATCCTCTGGACAACTTCTCTCACAGTCAGGACATACAGTATTCCACCATTCCAGGTATCAACCAGGTAATCTTCATTACACAAGCAGGGTGTGGACATTTATTTTTTTGCATCTTTCACTGTTTTTGCCTCAAGTAAAATCGTGTCTCTGAATGATTATTTTTACAGATTACTAATGATCTCATTTTGAAAGTTTTAACAACTTCAATTAAAAAAACTGAGCACGAAGCATTTATGATATGAAATGACTTGATTTCAGTATTTTGTTACAGTATGACAAGGAACAATAAACATATACGGTAGTTCAGGTGGGTGGCTATGTCAGCATGCGTATAGATATACTGTATTTGATCAGTAAACATAAAATGTAAATGACAGTATACAATTAACTAAATATTTTCATGTTTTTTCATGCATTTTGTCAAGATGTCTGTTTCACAGAGTATTTTGTAACAGCTGTGATATTTCTTATTTTATTTGGTGTCTTTATTTTATTGCATACTGTAATACCCTCAACCACATTTCATGGCATAGTTATAATATTCAACTGACAGGAAGCAATACATTGGGCATTGACAAGTCATTTAAAATACAGAGTGCAGCTTGGATCTTGAACATTAAAGTATCAAACTATTAAACTAAAGCACTGCAGTGATCACAAGTGTTCTCTATTGACAGATTTATAAATGAAAATAGAAAATAAGCTTTCCAGGGGTTATTTATTGTGCTCCCCAAACATCCCTGTGGTTTTCCTTTTCCATTTCTTTCTATTTAATAGTACATGTATAAAACATTTCCTTTTTAAACTTCATTGCGTAGTGTAGTAGTTACCACTCTGGCATCTAACAGTAAATGGAAGGTTGTATGTTCTGTTGCAGACACTGTTATTAAATAAGCAAGGTACTTTACTGCATTTTCTCTACTCCACTGAGCCATACTAATGGGATACAGCAATGGTGAGGTAATGCTGTGATGAATTAGTGCCCCTTGCTGCGGGAAGTGATGTTCTCTCCCACCTTCTGCAGCAGAAACCGGAATAAGCTCTGACCCGATACACCTCTATGTTTAAATTTTTACTTTGTATCTTTTCAAATACAGTAGATGTTAACTCTACAAACTACTTTGAAGGCTTATACACCTTCACTGACAATTGGATTTTCTGATTTGTTTGAACATTTTTACTTTGAGTTATCTATCCATCATTTTATAACCACTTTATCCAATGATGGGTCTTGGGGCAACCAGCGTCTACAAGGATACACCCTGGACAGGATGCCAGTCCACAGCAGGGCAATTAACCTACTGTACCAATATGTTTTTAGACTGTCGGAGGAAACTAGAGCACTCATAATTCCTTGATTACAAGACAGACAAATTATCTTTTTTAAATTAAGAGGTATATTTGCTACATTACACTGCTGTTCCTTTATCCATCGCATTTGAATTGTGCAATACCATTAACAAACAAAAATATAACAAAAAACACAATTGTCAATGCTTCACTGTTGCATTAGAGATTACACAATTAAGTAATACAGAAACTTAGTACTCAAATTCCTTAAAGGAAACATTTAAATATTGACAATGAAAAAACAACACTTTTTTATAAATATAATAATACATTAACATAAGATAAACTTATTAGTTACTGGTTTGTTTGTGAATTATATTATTTTTCTACAACACTATCTCTTATCCACTCAGAGCAGAGAAATTGAAACAAAGTTTGAAGAGCTTAGGTAACAATACCAAAAACAAACTTGAGAATCAATGGCTTTGTGCTTTTTCCATTTGTTATGGCTATTTGACCAAAAGGGCCTAAAAGCCACTCAACGTAAAGTGAGCACAGAACATACTAACATCTTTGTTTGCTCTTTCCCTCCATTAACTTTCCAAATAAAGTTGGGAATGTTTACCACTCACCTTTACAATGTTCTCAAAGTGTTCTTTATTCTCACTATTAAATTCCTGCCACTGTATGTGTCTTTAAAACTGAAAGAAAAAACAATCTTTAAGTCATCTGTATGGCAAATCTTATGTACTGCACAACTAATACAGAAAGGAAATTACATTCCTGACACACATTTTATGATTTATTGTCTTTCTTGTGCCTTGCATTTTTCATAAAATTCAGTTTTTCTTCTGAAGATTGCCATTTCATAAACAAATGAAATGTTAATAAAATTTAATTTGCATTGCATGACCTTTAAAAGGGGACATATGCTTTCTTAACATATCATCAGTATATCTGTTTTTTAAGACATCTTTAAAAATATATCACCTGTTACGAATACTGTACATACTGAACGCAATTTGGAATTTATCTGTGACATTTTTTAAGAATAATTAAAAAGTACAATAGCTCCAAACCTTTAATACTGCAGGTGGTGAAAAAATACACTTAAAATGTGCAAAGATAAACAATGCTTTACATAAATATAATTACAGCACTTATGTTTTGTCCTAGTGATACATAAATCTGAGCATACTCTATACATTAATTTAACATTTACTGGTATGCAAGGCAATAATGTTACCTTAATTTCCTATTGTTATAAATGGAGAATCTTTCTTGTCCATGGTAACCTAAAAGAAGATAAATGTTGTTGATATATTATACCACGGTTTATAAAAAAGTGTTGATCATACTGTTCACAACAGTTTGAAAGCCTATTTTTTCTACAATTTATCTGTTACATTTTACATAGAGGACTGATCTCAATACAGAAGTGCCTCAAATGAACAATTTGTCTTTGTAAAAACAAGAAAATATGAATCATTTTTTTTTCTGTGGAATAGCATCACTTATATATATATATTGTACATAATGAAAAAAACATTCTTTAAAAAAGAAAATATATTTAAGAGCACCACTTTTGAAAAAGTGTTTTCTTTCATAACAGCATGCAAGTTTCTTTCTATAAAAGCTAAATATGGTATAAATATTTTACAGATCTTTTTAAATTAAGGCTTTGCTCTAAAATTGAGAATTTCAAACCAAATTCCTTTTTTTTAACATTACAAGTGTCAAAGATTGGAAAGGTCTCCTGCAATGTAAGTAGATTGCTAGCTATACAGTTCATTTATTTCCACTCATTCCCAGTTCATTTTTTTTCTTTGAAAACTGAAGCATGTCAAAAATGTAATGGTTTTCTTGCATCACAATCATAATGCTCAATCCTAAAGATTCTTGTTTTCCATGTTTCAAAGGACTAATGTTTTCCCTTTGTCACAAACAAGATAGTACAAGTATTGTTTTATTACTGACGTCTTTTTTGGAGAGGGAAATTAGGGTATTAAAATAATTGCATTGGATATTAAGAATATTTATATGCTTAAATATATCCCTGAAAGTCTGGGTTCCTAAATTAAATTTAAACTTTAAGTTAAAGGTCTGAAATAGGAATAAATACCATGAGTAAATGCTGAATATAACTTTATGAAATCGTAAATGAAATGTCACTGAGACATTGGACCGCTCGGTCTTACTTCTGCTACTGCAGAAGGTAATGCAAATGACTGTGAACTAAAGTAGAAAGATATTAATACAATAATGGAAGTTTAAGAGATAGCCAATGTTGATTTACAAAGGGAAGATCTTGCTTTAGTTCTTAACACTTAAGCATACCATATGATAAATTTAAGTTCACATAGGTTTTTTTTAATATCCCTTGTAAAAAGCTGAATCGAGAAATCTACTGTAATGTAAAGACATGGATCAAGATCTGATCAATGGCAGAACAGGAAACACAATATTCTTGAGGGGCATAACGTTTAACTGGGCTCTTACCACCAGTGGTGTACTACAGGAGTTTGTTTTAGGCTCATTGCTCTTCATGCTTTGTCTCAATTATTTCATATCTTGGCACAGATTCAGGTACAGTAGTGAACTAATGAACTCTGTAGATAATACATCAATCGAGGGAGTGGCAATCAAGCAAAAACAGCAAAAACTCATTAAATATGAACCAAATTGTGGATTTGGTACTTAACAAGAAACTTCACATTGATAAGTCAAAAGTAATCCAAGAGCCTGTACATTGTAATGCTTTCTGAGCTTCAGGAAACTATCATTGAAAAGGATCTGGGACTCTCTTACAGTATGTCCTCATCAAGACAATGTGAAGAATTAAAACAGCAACGCTTGGTCCCCCATACCACAAAAAACATAACAGCTTGTGTTCAGGTCCCCTCTAGATGGAAGTGCAGCATGGGGCCAGGTGCATACGACCAAACCTATCGAAGGGGAAATGAAACAGCCCAAAGAACCAGCCCCAGTTATGCTCACTTCTCTACCTTAAATACCTATTGACTGAATTTTCTAACTCTCCCTTAAACCAGCAGCTGTCCTTGCCTTGTCGATTCCATTCAGCCAGGAATGTTCCTTAACCATCTCCCCTTTTTTACTGGCGACCCGACCCGGAAAACAATAGCAGCTGCTATTGAAGATGAAACATTCAACCTTTCAGAAAATGTCAACTTCTTAAAGACCTCCTAAAGACCCTTTTCTTGAGATATTTAAAGCTACCGTAGCAAGTGACTGTGAACGTCTTGCTAGCAGACCTCTTCAGTTAATAGTTCAAGTAGGGAGCTGCGGCAGCATGTGTAGGCTGCAAAAGAACAAGTAATAATAATAAAAAATAATAATAATAAACTTTATTTTATATAGCACCTTTAAAGGTGGCTTCTCAAAGTGCTTTACAGAATGACAACAACAATAAATAAAAAGAATACACAAGATAAAACGCAATTGCAATATACAGAGGAGACCATGGATGGTGGTACTAAGAATGGAACAAGTTAAGTAAAGGCTTTTCTAAAGAAGAAGGTTTTGAGTCTGGATTTGAAGGAGTTTAGAGAAGATGACTCTCTGATATCCTTGGGCAGAGAGTTCCAGAGCTCTGGGGCATAACAGGAGAAGGCCCTGTCACCCATACAATGTATATGGGCTTGGGGAGACAGTAAGGAGACCAGAATTAGAAGAGCGAAGGTTGCGAGGTGGGGAGTAGGGCAATAATAGTTCAGACAGGTAGTGAGGTGCCAAGCCATGCAGAGCCTTGTAGGTGAGCATGAGGATTTTAAAGTCCACACAGAATTTGACAGGAAGCCAGTGCAAGGACTCCAGGATAGGAGTAATGTGATCCTTTGTACTAGCCCTAGTCAGGATTCTGGCTGCTGAATATAAGACATACTGCAGTTTGTTCAAAGTAGATTTAGATACCCCAGCGAGTAGAGCATTACAGTAGTCAATTCGAGAGAACACAAATGTGTTGATCAGCTTTTCAGCCACAGTTAGTGATAGCACAGGGCATAGTCTAGCGATATTTCTGAGGTGAAAAAAGATGTTTTGACAATATGCTGCACATGTGGGTCGAATGTTAAGCCAGAATCGAATATAACCCCAAGGTTTTTCAATTTAGATTGAAGCTCAAGTACAGAACCATCTACAGATAAGGTTACAGGATTGGCTTTATGAAGTTGATGGGGGGTTCCAATAAGCATGACTTCAGTCTTGTCGCGGTTAAGATGAAGGAAACTTTGAGTCATCCAAATTTTTATGTCAGAGATGCAATTAGATAGAATAGAGACCGCCACATCAGTGTCAGGAAACATGTAAATGCTGAAGAGCAAGGGGCCCACTATTGAGCCCTGAGGAACACCAGACTTAACAAAGTCCAATTTCAGACCTATACCCATTAAGAGAGACAAAGTGACAGCGATCAGTGAGGTAAGATTTGAACCATTTGAGAACAGTGGCAGAAACTCCAAACACAGTCTCAAGACGAGAAAGTAAGATGTTATGGTCAACAGTGTCAAAAGCAGCACTGAGATCAAGAATGATGAGTATAGAAAGAGAACCAGAATCAGACGCTATAAGAAGATCGTTAGTGACTTTGATCAGGACAGTTTCTGTGCTGTGAAGTTGATGGAAGCCAGATTGGAGGGGTTTGAAAAGGTTGTTTGTCATGAGATGGTTATGTAACTGAAGTGAGACAGCACGTTCTAGAATTTTTGCAAGAAAGGGTAAGTTGGAGATGGGGTGAAAATTGCTAAGATTGTCGAGAGCCATGTTAGGCGTTTTTGGCATGGGGGGTAACTTAAAAGTAAAGGTTTATGCCGTGCTTTTCTTTTTAGCATGGAACAAACATTTACTTTTTCCTATTCAGTAAATGTTTATATACAGTAGGAATCTGGCAGCCTGTGGTGCAGCCACTGGTTTGCTGATTTCCTCTTGAGAAAGTGAGGAATGCATTTCTATGATTGTTGTATCACAGCCTTAGAAGAAGTGCAAATGAAAGCAAAAACCCAAATTCCTGGTTTCAGCAGATTGTCATGTATTGACAGGTTAAATAAATGTATGTCTTTTCTACAAGAAAGGATTGGTGGAAGGACACTTAATTCAATTAAATAAATTCCAAGGGAGTATAGTTAGTTCCCTGGGTTTAGTTTTTTTTTAAATCAACGGTGAAAAAGGGGTATTGGATAAAAAAAGGAAACTAAATGGAAATCTAAGTGAGAGAATAGGAAATACTTCTTATACAAAGGGTTTCAGGCATCTGAAGCCTGTTTCTCTTTCAGGGGCCTGAACTATTTCAAGATATTTCTATTAGCTACCAAATTGCCAGACAAGCAAAAGAGACCAAATGGTCTTCTCTCCTGTGCAGCCTTTGCTGTGATTGAAGGTATATTAAAAGGGCTCAGACCAAAAAAACTTAAGTACTGTCTACAGAAATGCCTATTTGAAAGAAAAATCTGTTATGGCCCTTTTGTCACTCAGTCCATGTTAGGAGTGCAAAGTTAATTTTTCCACATTTTTCTAACTATTAACCTACTATACCTACTGTAGATGCCCAATTCAAATTTCACATCCACACATTAGTTAACATTTTAACTTTAAAAACTTGCATGTAGGTCATACAGTAATAGTACTTCCTTGCATTTTAAAAACTGTAGCAGTCTTCATTCTAAAGCATCCCGGCGTGTTTTAAATATGGGAGGTGACTCATGTCCTCTACCAGAAAGATGGTGTACAGTATGGCAATCCCATTGCCAGCAGTTCAGATTTAGAAGAAAGAAATGGCATCACCAACTCAATTAAGAATGCCAGAGTAATGGGATCAACACCTACAGTAATATTACTTACAGTGCCATGGGATCTTAATTAGGCAATTATGATAAATTAAGACAAATACTACCAGTTTACACAA